TTTGGGAACTCAGGGTTGGGGGTTATTGCAGCATGTGTCGAGTATTTATTTTTTATTTATCGTGTCATCAGCAACCATACCATTGTATTACAATTCTAACAGAGCAAAACAAACACACAGATTAAAAAGAAAAAGAAAAAAAACAAACAGATTTTGCAAACTTGGTAGTTGATTAAATGTCCTTTGACCAGTATCTGGCCACTTGGAGGGCCTCTGGTGTTGCCGCAAGAAGGTCCTCCATTGTGCATGTGGCAGGGCTCAGGTTGCATTGCAGCAGGTGGTCAGTGGTTTGCTCTTCTCCGCACTCGCAGGTCGTGGATTCCACTTTGTGGCCCCCATTTCTTGAGGTTGGCTTTGCATCTCGTGGTGCCAGAGCGCAGTCTGTTCAGTGCCTTCCAAGTCGCCCAGTCTTCTGTGTGCCCAGGAGGGAGTCTCATTTGGTATCAGCCATTGGTTGAGGTGCTGGGTTTGAGCCTGCCACTTTTGGACTCTCGCTTGCTGAGTGTTCCAGCGAGTGTCTCTGTAGATCTTAGAAAACTATTTCTTGATTTAAGTCGTTGACATGCTGGCTGATACCCAAACAAGGGATGGGCTGGAGATGTCACTGCCTTGGTCCTTTCACTATTGGCTGCTACTTCCCGGCGGATGTCAGGTGGTGCACTACCAGCTAAGCAGTGTAATTTCTCCAGTGGTGTAGGGCGCAGACACCCCGTAATAATGCGGCATGTCTCATTAAGAGCCACATCCACTGTTTTAGTGTGGTGAGATGTGTTCCACACTGGGCATGCATACTCAGCAGCAGAGTAGCATAGCGCAAGGGCAGATGTCTTCACTGTGTCTGGTTGTGATCCCCAGGTTGTGCCAGTCAGCTTTCGTATGATGTTGTTTCTAGCGCCCACTTTTTGCTTGATGTTCAGGCAGTGCTTCTTGTAGGTCAGAGCACGGTCCAGAGTGACTCCCAGGTATTTGGGTGCGCTGCAATGCTCCAGTGGGATTCCTTCCCAGGTAATCCTCAGAGCTCGGATGCTTGTCTGTTCTTAAGGTGAAAGGCGCATGTCTGTGTTTTAGATGGATTAGGAGTCAGCTGGTTTCCCCTGTAATAGGCAGTAAGAGCACCTAGAGCTTCGGAGAGCTTCTGTTCTACCATCTCAAAGCTCCCTGCTTGAGTGGTAACGGCACGATCATCAGCATAGATGTGTCAAGTGAGAAGGGGCCATTCCAGGACTTGGATGTGTATATAATGCAACCCAGAAGTTGTCGGATCTGGATGTAAAAGTATAAAATATAAGTGCAAAGTGATATACGTCTCACATAGTGTTAGAATATTGTAATTTTTTTAATTCTGAAATGACCAGAGAGAATGCTCCGTGCAAAATTGGATCCGATCCCACAACAGCCACAATACAGGGCATTGTTTCGGCATCAATTCAACGCTGCTTTTGTTTGTCGTGGCATTTTTATTTGGCTCTTTGTCTTCTTTTTTCTTATGGTTTCGCTGTGTTTTGATTTGTTGGACATTTGGGAGCTTTTGTACTTTTATTCTTTGAACTATTTTATTCTTTTAGCTTTTAATGTCATGATTTTAACTGCTAACAAATAAATACATATGGCTTTGAGTTGCTATGAGGTTACCAGGCTGTCTGACTACGTTCCAGAAGCATTCTCTCCTGTCATTTCACCCACATCTATGGCAGGCATCCTCAGAGGTTGTGAGGTCTGTTGGAAACTAGGCAAGTGTGGTTTATATATCCATGGAATGATGTCCAGGGTGGGAGAAAGAACTCTTGTCTGCTTGAGGTAAGTGGGAATGTTGCATTGGCCATCTTGATTAGCACTGAATAGCCTCGCAGTTTCAAAGCTTGGCTGTTGCTGCCTGGGGGAATCCTTTGATAGGAGGTCTGGAGAACAAGCCCTATGAGGAGCGGCTTAAGGAGCTGGGCATGTTTAGCCTGAAGAAGAGAAGGCTGAAAGGAGACATGATAGCCATGTATAAATACGTGAGATGAAGCCACAGGGAGGAGGGAGCAAGCGTGTTTTCTGCTTCCCTGCAGACTAGGACATGGAACAATGGCTTCAAACTACAAGAAAGGAGATTCCATCTGAACATGAGGAAGAACATCTGACTGTAAGAGCTGTTCAGCAGTGGAACTCTCTGCCCCGGAGTGTGGTGGAGGCTCCTTCTTTGGAGGTTTTTAAACAGAGGCTGGATGGCCATCTGTCAGGGGTGCTTTGAATGCAATATTCCTGCTTCTTGGCAGAATGGGGTTGGACTGGATGGCCCATGAGGTCTCTTCCAACTCTTTGATTCTATGATGCTATGAGGTATTACATGGCCCTGATGGTTTCCTGTGGAATTCCCCCCTTTTTTAGTGTTGCTCTTTATTTACTGTTCTGCCCATAGAAGTCATCCATAGCAGAGCACCTGATGAACCAACCTGGACACAGAATATTATTTCAGAGCACGGAAATGCTGGACCACTGACTACCACATGTCAGACTACACAGAGAAGCCATTCAAATGTACAAGCATGTGAACATTTTCAACAGAAAGGAGGAAACCATGAAAATGAACAAAATCTGGTGACTGTATTTAAAAACTCTAAAATCAAGACAGCAAAATAAAGAGCAACACTCCAAAGGCAGGGGAATTCCAGGCATGAAACAATCAGGGCCAGCTAACACCTCCCAATCAGGACCAGCTAACACCTTCCAACAAATAATTCCATCAAGCCAGGCTTTGAAGCTGCAAGGCTAATCAAAGTAATCATTCCACAGATATATAAACCCCACTTGCTTAGTTTCCAACAGACCTCATAACTTCTGAGGATGCCTGCCATAGATGTGGGTGAAATGTCAGGAGAGAATGCTTCTGAAACATAGCCATATAGCCTGGAAAACTCACAACATCCCCATTATCATCATCAACAACATCAATATTATTATTATCCCCACCATCTCTATTGTTGTTGTTGTTATTGTTATTGTTATTATTTGAAACACAAGATGAGCCCACAGCAGACAAGATCACTCTGCTGGCTGTTGTATTGGATCACATGTCGGACACTTCCCAAGTGTCTAAGATTGTGTGATGTATCAATGAATAATGCGTGCAGATCCCAGTAAGGTGGCCTTTTGCAGCTGGCAGCTGGTAATTTTGCCAGCAGCGATTGTGTTTAAGTGCAGGCCAAGGTCTTGAGGCACTGCGCCCAGTGTGCCGATCACCACTGGGACCACTTATTATTATTATTATTACTATTATTATTATTATTATTATTATTATTTTATAGATGTGGGCAAAACATCAGGAGAGAATGGTTGTGCGGCCATACAGCCTGGAAAACTCACAGCAAGCCAGTAGTTGTGTGTCTTGAAGTCGAACATGACCCCCCCCCCCATTAGAGACAGTAACTTATAGTTTTGCTAAGGGCAAGGACACCAGACTGGATAATAAGGGTTAAGCCTTGGTCAAATTGGTGTGTATCATTTAATCAAGGCTTTATGCCCTATTTTCATCTGTTTATAGCAGAAGGTAACCAATTTACTACTGAAAATCATGCCACAAAAGTATTTGAATTTTTCCATCTGAGACACACCTGGGCTCCTGATGGTCCCCCATCTCACAAACAAGGGACTCTCTTTCCCCCTCATGGATATATTTCCCTTTATGGGCCTTCCTATGAATAATATGAACTATGGACACTGGGGGAGGGTAGTTGGGTTTACTCTCTATATTATTTCTATATTTTCATATTTTCTCCTGTATTTCTATATTTCCCTTCATGAATCTGACCTTGCCCCCTTCCCTTCTCCTTGAGGAAAATGTATAAGGAAGTTGCCCTGCTTCTGAAAATAGCAATTAGCGATTGTGAAGACCCTTATCTTAGAACATTACTTGCATGGAAAATAACAAAGAAATTTCTTTCTTGACTTCGGAGTCGGGCCATCAAGAGGATATTCACTTGGCAGACTTTTTAATCATATAACAATGGGGGAAAGACGACCTTCGGAAAGCTCTTTTTCCTCCAAACCCGTTTTTTTTTTTCAAACCTTTCCACTGAAAACATTCACTAAAGTCTCCCCCTTTGTGCCCTATCTGATCGCAAGAGGAAAACCTGGATTAAGTGATCAATGCTTATCTCAGACCAATCTCAAGACAATGGCAGGCCCATTCCGGACTCGTTAAGCCTCCTGGACATTAAACTCCATAATCCATTCAAGAATGTATTGTATTCCTTCGTCCCGCCCCCCTCTCTTCTGATTCACTGGAGCGCCGAGGCGGCAGGAGGCTCCTGATTGGCTCTGGCGCACCGCAGAAGCCCTGTGATTGGCCCTGACGCAAGCCTCCTCCCAACTGTTTGCGCATCAGCCAATCCTCTTTGAGCTGGGCGAGAGGGGGGAGCGGGAGATTTGAATCACACAACTCTGTATTTTCTATAAAAATTGCATTTATTTGTGTAACTTCATGCTTAGCTTGGCGAATTATTGCTGCTTTGCATCCTTTTCAGTTGAATCGCTAATAAATCATCTCGGTGGCACTTTATTCAACTTTGGTGAGATTCTTTTTGGGAAAATAAATTGTTTAAAATTAGGCTTCTCTTTGCTCACCAACGTAGCGATCCCTCTTTGGTGGGGCCGCAGGGTCTCTCCTCCTCGGGTAGACCCTTCTAAAGTTCCTATCGACTTCAGTCTCTTTAGCTTGATAATGCAATACTGTTACCTGGCGCACGGTGTTGAAGGCAAAGCATTTCCCCCCACAGGCATGCACTAGACCTTCCACTTTTGGTGATGTTAGGAGTATACAAAGTCCATTCTGGTTTGAAGGCTGTTTATACATTTCTATGTGTGCATTTTTACACTTTGCAATCTGGACCGATTCAGCGAGCATTCCATTTTGGCTGTGCATGTCTAAGGCAAACAAATACAGCGCTCCTTTCCCCCCTTCCTGCCCTCCCGCCGTCTATTTATGGGCTTTGGAAATTCCCGGATACCTCCCTCCCAATCCATTTCAGCACAACTAAACTGGGCCTCCTGTCGCGCAAAGGCGATTTGCAGTGTTTGCACAGCAGCTGCCCAGAGCCGTCAAAGTCACCAGCTATTGCATTGGCTGCTCTGCTTTGGGAAAGGCGGAGGGTCCGGCGGCAAAGGTTTCCAACATGTCTGAAGTCTACTGCATGGACAACAGGTCAGGGCACTGGGTAAGGATTTCTGTGACACTCCTGCTGTTGTTTCTGTGCCATATTTTTTGCTATTGTGTTGCTGGATCGACCCACAGCTGACGGAGAACTTCTCCAGACAGGATTCTAAAGCGCTTTTGGAGATAAATATAGCTTCCCAGATTAGGCTGCTTCAGCTTGACCTCACGTAGCCTCCAGGTTCATTGACAGAGCCCCAGGAAGCTTACAGGCAGACACAGGCTGTCCCTGAGCTACAAACATCCGACTTACAAATGACTCCTAGTTAAGAACGGGGCGGAGACAACAGGAAGGGAGAGAAATCTACCCCTCAGAAGGGAAATCCACACCTGTAATAGTTATTATCATGGGGAAAAGGTGCCTCCACTAAAGATTTATCGCCAAACCTTGTTTCCCCAACAAGACACATCTCGCATTGCATGCTTTCGAACTGCTAGGTTGGCAGGAGCTAGGACTGACAGTCAGGAGCTCATCCCAACTCACGGCTTCAAACTGTTAACCTTCCGGTCTACGGTTATTAGCTTTAATCGCGGCTCCTTAAGTTTTTAAATTATTCGTACATGGGGCTGAGAGAAGGACACCTGTGCCTCCTGAGGCTTCCAAGTACATAAATTTTGCTTCCTGCATGAAAACATTTTGAAAAGTTAATATCATATAGCATGTAAACAAAACATCAATGCTCTGGAGGGCTATGATATGTGATCATGGCTGCATTTTGGGATGAACAGAAATGAGGAGATGCCTCATCCAGTTGCCTTTTGGGTTGTTTATGGCAGCATGTGGGGTATAAATCATCATCATCATCATCATCATCATCATCAACATCAACATCAACATCAACAACAACAACAACAACATCTTTGAAGACAGATGCACTTGGCCCTTTGCCGATATCCCAGTCCACCCTGATTCCCACTCCTTGATTCTCTTATCCTCACATGTCCCTTCTGGATTTTTGTTTGATTCTGTCTCCATAGGTTGTGCCCAAGTCCGGGGACCTGATTGAAATTTCCCGTTTGGGATACCAGCACTGGGCTGTCTATGTGGGATCTGGTTACGTGATCCACTTGGCTTCCTCAGGTAATAATAATAATAATAATAATAATAATACTTTATTAATATTCCTTCCTATCTCCCCGAGGGGACTCAGAGTGGATTACAGCATGTATACAAACACAAACACAGGCAAACGTTCAATGCCTTGACACAACGAGACAGAACTTAACAGACAAAGGCAAGGGCTTCCCCTTTCATCTCCGGCTTTTGGAGGCAGTGCTCAACTCTGGCTCTGGGGGAGATGTTATCTCCACTTCCAAGGCAAGGAGCTTGCGTTGTCCATAGACACTTCTTAGTCGTGTGGTTGGCATGATTGCTTGGAGCACCTGTTTTCCTTCCCGCCACATTTGCATGTTTTCGAACTATTAGGCTGGCAGGAGCTGGGGCTAACAGTGGGAGCTCACCCAGACCCACGGATTTGAACGGCCAACCTTCAAGACAGCAGTTAAGCAGCACAAAAGTTTAACCCATTGTTATCAGACATATATAAGCCGTTCCTGAGTTACAGACATACGACTCCTAGTTAAGAACGGGGATTTTGGTCGTGAGACACTACAAGTCGCTTCTGGTGTGCAAAGACGTTGCCCAGGGGACGCCTGGATGTTTTGATGCTTTATTATCCTTGTGGGAGGCTTCTCTCGTGTCCCCAAAAGAGGAGCTGGAGCTGACAGAGGGAGCCTGTTCTGTCATGTGCTGGGCCTGTAATAATTGACTTTTGAAATAGGACATGCACCTTGTGCCCAGTGGGAAGCCAGGGGCGCCTCGAAAGAGGCCTTTAAGGATTTTCCTGTAGAGATAGTCTTTAGAGTTTTTAATGATGTAACAAAGTCCTTCCAACAGATATTTCTCAAATCTTCAGTGGGTCAAACAAATGCTTCAAGGCTTTGAATTAACTGGTGGCTTCCTTAATCTTGTCCACGAGGGACAGGCAACTGTCTTCATTAACTGTTCCTTTACTTTAGAGGAAAACCCTTTTTTAACCTCTTCCAGGCTGACTATAATCTAATCCTTACTGATGTGGGTCCTACTACCGGATTCAAACTGCGTCTTGAGCACCGAGTAGACCTACCAGTAAAGGCTTGCAGATTCTCCAGCTGGAGTTCTCTGGGTCTGTAAAGCTGTTTTCCCTCCAGAATGTCCCTGGAATTTCCTGGACTTCAGTTTCCCTGGATGGTCTTACGAAATGAAGCTTTTGTGCAGGCGGAGCTTGTCCACGTCCTCTAACTTAGCTTTCCTCACTAAGACTAACTAAAAATGGCTCCCTCTTCCCTTCCCATCTCCCTAGGAGAAGGGGCGGATCCAAACTTAATAATGATAGACAAGTGGCTTGCCCTATGACTGCAAACCAAAGGACGCCATCTTTCTGTAGAATCCTTGCATGCAAACACTTAATAGAAAGAAAATAAAGTTGGAGCTCCTGGTACAGACATACCAGCACAGAGCCCATCCATGCTCTCCCTGGATTTGAACCTATGACCTGTCGGTCTTCAGTCCTGCCGGCACAGGGGTTTAACTCACTGCGCCACCAGGGACTCTATAGAACAGGGATGACTCTTGCTTTCCTCCAGATTTTGGGGATCTGACAGGATGCAGTGCTTTTGTTCATCGGCTCCAGGGGACATGAGAAAAGTCTCCTCACAGGATTGCAAGAAATCTGGGTGTCCCCTGGGCAACGTCTTCGTAGACGGCTGATTCTCTCACTCCAGAAGCAACCAGAAGCGACTTGCAGCATGCAAACAAGCAAGCAAAACAACCACGGGAATTGAGATAAATCTACCCCTACACTATTGAATCAATGCACATGTTTAAGTATTTTTGGAAGCTGAGCAACCACATCTTATTACATTTGGGTCCAAACAGCTGATGCCGGTCCTTGTGATGCGCTCAAGCTCCCTGTGGTAGTTGCCATGGCAACCGACGGGGAATCCGATAGATGTGGCTTATCTGAATGTCTTGCTCGGGACATATAACAGGGCATTACTCTCTGCTGCAATGATCACCATTCAAATGACTTGGAATTGGTTGAGGACACACCTGCAAAAATGATGATGATGATTATGATGATGATGACTATTTCATATCAAAAGCATTGCATAAATTAGTAGAAAACTGATAAACTGAAGACGTGCAGGAAGCGAAATATCTTTTGACCAAAAACGGGCAACAGCAACGGCATTGTCAATGGACAAGCATACAGATGCAGAGTTGTCTGTTCTGCTCCACAGTCACGTAAGGTATGGGATTCTTTTAGGTAGGGCCATTTTGCCAGCAAAGATAACAGCATGACATTTCTTTTGTGAAGATATGTGAATATTCAATTTCACGTCATTTTTAAAAAATACAGATTGCTGATTTCTTCATATTTGGGGTGCAAAGTTTTTTGCACACAACTCCCACTTCCAACAAATTTGGGATGCAGAGAAGAAGCAAGATTGCCCATCCTTATAGCTAACATACCTTGAATAGGGCAGAGAAGCATCCCTCAGTATGCTAGTCTGAGCTTCTTCCAACTCATGTGACTGCTGGGAGTTGTAGTACAAAAGCTTATCTTTCCTATGCATGTGCTTCCCTGTCTTTCCAAGGCGACTTCAAAGAAGCCAGCACAAACAGCCTCCTGTCTGTCATGACGGAAAAAGCCATGGTGAAGAAGGAACGGCTCAGGGACATCGTTCGGGGCGACAACTATTGCATCAACAACAAATACGATGAGAAATGCTACCCGCTTCCCGCCAACAAAATTGTCCAGGAGGCGGAAGCGCTCTTGGGAAAGGAAATGCACTATAGCGTGACCAGCAATAACTGCGAACACTTTGTCACCAGGCTCCGCTATGGCACGGCTAGGAGCGACCAGGTGAGATGGGAAAACCTCACGCTTGGAGATGCCGTTGTTATGGAAATCTTTGTTGTTATGAAGGCCAAAACATCTGGGGATTCTATGATTCTATAAGTCTGATTGTTGCTCTATATCCAGGATCCATTGTCTAATAAGATCCTTAGCTTGGTCCCATCCCATACTTAGCAGTTGTCCTTGAGAGAGACCTAGAGTTGCAATTTTTGTTGCCACTACCTTATTCCATGTAGACTGAAATTCATCTCTCAGAGTTAACAGAGCAAGGCCACATGTTGAGAAAGACAGATGCAGCCAATAATTGAGGGTGGCTGTCCATACTCTGGTCTCAACCACAAAATCATAGAATCAAAGAGTTGGAAGAGACCTCATGGGCCATCCAGTCCAACCCCATTCTGCCAAGAAGCAGGAATATTGCATTCAAATCACCCCCAACAGATGGCCATCCAGCCTCTGTTTAAAAGCTTCCAAAGAAGGAGTCTCCACCGTACTCTGGGGCAGAGAGTTCCACTGCTGAACGGCTCTCACAGTCAGGAAGTTCTTCCTCATGTTCAGATGGAATCTCCTTTCTTGTACTTTGGAGCCATTGCTCCATTGCGTCCTAGTCTCCAGGGAAGCAGAAAACAAGCTTGCTCCCTCCTCCCTGTGGCTTCCTCTCACATATTATACATGGCTATCATATCTCCTCTCAGCCTTCTCTTCTTCAGGCTAAACATGCCCAGCTCCTTAAGCCGCTCCTCATAGGGCTTGTTCTCCAGACCCTTGATCATTTTAGTCGCCCTCCTCTGGACACATTTCAGCTTGTCAATATCTCTCTTGAATTGTGGTGCCCAGAATTGGACACAATATTCCAGGTGTGGTCTAACCAAGGCAGAATAGAGGGGTAGCATGACTTCCCTGGATCTAGACACTATACTCCTATTGATGCAGGCCAAAATCCCATTGGCTTTTTTTGCCGCCACATCACATTGTTGGCTCATGTTTAACTTGTTGTCCACGAGGACTCCAAGATCTTTTTCACACGTACTGCGCTCGAGCCAGGCATTGTCCCCCATTCTGTCTCTTTGCATTTCGTTTTTCCTGCCAAAGTGGAGTATCTTGCATTTGTCACTGTTGAACTTCATTTTGTTAGTTTTGGCCCATTAATGTCACTTTTCTTGTTTCTTTTTTCCAGGTGAGAGATGCTGTGATTGTTGGCACCGTTGGACTGGTTGGTGTCGGGGCGATGGTTGTTTTGGCAGGCCTGATAGGCAGCATGTTGTCGCCCAAGAATCAGACAAAGAAATAGTTGTGTCAAATTCCCATCTCAGAATGGGGTTTCCCCCATTTTCAGAAGCCTTCTCTGACTCGAACTTAGCCTCTTTCCTATATTTTCAATGTGAGCAATTAACAATGCAATGTCATACTGGGTCTTTGTTTTGTGACCCTACCAGAGGTGGGAAAAGCACTGAAGTAGAGATTGCTGATGAAAACACTTATTTTCAGAGGCGGCCCTAGGTAATTTTCAATGGTAAGCAAACAGTATTTTGGTCCCCCCCCCCCCAACCAATCATTGATATATATTTTCTGTTCGTCATGGGAGTTCTGTGTGCCATATTTGGTTCAATTCCATCATTGGTGGAGCTCAGAATGCTCTCTGATTGTAGGTGAACTATACATCCCAGTAACTACACTTGCTCCCTTGCCTGACCCGCTTTGGGTCCGGAGGCATGCCTGAAGACCCCGGCGTGTGCACCAAAAGTCACCTCTTCTCCTGACTTTCTCCTCAGCTATTGGGACCGAAGAGAGAGGGAAAGAGAGAGAGAGGTGGACATGCCCACCTTTCCTGCAGGTAGGCGCAAAAACAAAGGAGGGAGCGGAGGTGGGAGATACCTCCAGCCGGAGGGTCTCTCTCTCTCTCTCTCTCTCTTGGTCCCAATGGCTGAAGAGAAAGTCAGGAGAAGAGGCGACTTTTGGTGCGCACGCTGGGGTCTTCAGACACACCTCCGGACCCGAAGCGGGCCAGGCATGGCGACTCCGCCCCTTGGCCCACCCGCGGATTGGGGAGAGGAGAGGAGGCGGGTGGAGCGCCGGGGGATCGGGAAAGGGAGCCGGTCATGGGGAAGGGATCGAACGCGGAGAATGATTGAGTGCCGGCTCTGCTCATGCACCCTGTGGCCGGGTGGAGCAGGAATGAGGGGCTAGGCGAGGCTCAAGGGCCCGGCCCCTTTGGGAAGAGGATCGCCGCCAGCGAGGCAAGAAAGCCGAGGCTCCCCCCGGACTGCTAGGGCTGTTGTGAGCTGAGGGGGCGCTCCTCAAGTGGCAGTTGAGGGGCATTTACAGAGGCGCCTCTGCGCCCCTGGCAAAAAAAAGTGTTCTGCGACCGCTTACTTCGCGTAATGGACGAGCCGCCCCTGTTTGTACCTCCAACAACTTGTCACATAATACCTGGATGCAAAATATACACATTTCTTTTTTTGGGTATAGTTTGGAGAACTGAAATGCAAGCCGTCCCCGAGTTACACACATCCGATTTACAAACGACTCCTAGTTGAGACTAGGGCTGCGACAACAGGAAGCGAGAGAAATCAGAAGGGAAATTTACTTCTGAAAGAGTTATTATCACGAGTCTGGAGACATCATGTTCTTTAGCACCTCTTTGAGCCAAGCTTTACTTAACATTCTACGGTTTGCTGTTCTTACTTACTGTCTTCCCTCTTCCTTAATAAAAAAATTATTTTTTTGTTATATATTCATATTTATTGTTCTTAAGATGAAAAGTACATAACTGCATTTTAGATGGATTAAGAATCAGCTGGTTTTCCTTGTAATAGGCAGTAAGAGCACTTAATGCATTGGAGAGCTTCTGTTCAACCATTTCAAAGGTCTCTGCTTGAGCGGTGATGGTGTGATCGTCAGCATAGATTAAACTCTCTGTCCCTTCTAGCAGTGGCTGATCATTTCTGTACTGTGCTCTGACTTCCAAGATCAAATCACCTCTCAACAAAAGATTGCTCCAGAACAAAAGATTGCTCCAAAAGTTTGCCTTAGGCAGTCAGGCCATTATATGCTAATCAAGGTGGTCAGTTGAAACATTCACACTTAGCTCCAGCAGACAAGAGTCCTTTGTCCCACCCTGGTCATTCCACAGATATATAAACCCATTTTCCTACTTCCAACAGATTATTTATTTATATACTGCTTTTCTCAGCCCTCAGGCGACTCAAAGCGGTGAACAACATCAATGCAAAACATCACGAGACAAGTACAGGGCAATTAAAAACAATTGTAACATAAATCATTAAACATCCGTATAACAATCATTAGCGTCTCAACAGTAAAATCAGAATCCAGTCTCGTCATCCATTATTCCGTATTCCTATGTTCAATTACACTGTTTAATCAAATGCTTGTTCGAACAGCCAGGTCTTCACTTTCCTCCGAAACGCCAGCAGGGAGGAGGCCAATCTGATATCTGCAGGCAGGGCGTTCCACAGCCGAGGTGCCACCACTGAGAAGGCCCTGTCTCTCGTCCCCGCCAAGTGCGCCTGTGATGCAGGCGGGACAGAGAGCAGGGCCTCCCCAGATGATCTTAGTGTCCTAGCCGGTTCATAGGAGGAGATGCGTTTGGAGAGGTAAGTAGGGCCAGAACCGTGGAGCTGGCGCAACAGAGGAGTAGTATGCTCCCTGAGTGCCGCTCCTGTTAGCAACCTGGCTGCCGAACGCTGAACCATTTGAAGCTTCCGAGAAGTCTTCAAAGGCAATCCCATGTAGAGAGTGTTGCAGTAGTCTATACGGGATGTAACCAGAGCGTGGACTACCGTGGCCAACAGACCTCACTACCTCTGAGGTTGCTTGCCATAGATGCAGGCGAAACGTCAGGAGAAAATGCCTTTAGAATATGGCCATATAGCCCGAAAAAACCTACAACAACCTAGTGATTCCGGCCATGAAAGCCTTCGACAATACAAGGAACAGGATCATCTCAGTTTAACATACATATATGAATAATTATGTAATATAGGAATTCGGGTTAAATAGTGAAAATAGATCATAGTCCAATCGTTTGTCATAGGGGTCATCAGTCGAAGGCACAACAAAACATCCACGTCTTCTTACCTTAATTATTTTTATTCACATTTTCCATTTTACAGTTTTGGGTTTTTTTTTTTTTTTGTCGTGTCAGGAGCGACTTGAGAAACTGCAAGTCGCTTCTGGTGTGAGAGAATTGGCCGTCTGCAAGGACATTGCCCAAGGGACGCCCAGATGATTTGATGTTTTATCATCCTTGTGGGAGGCTTCTCTCATGTCCTCGCATGAGGAGCTGGAGCTGATTGAGGGAGCTCATCCGCCTCTCCCCGGATTCGAACCTGCGACCTGTCAGTCTTCAGTCCTGCCGGCACAGGGGTTTAACCCACTGCGCCACTGGGGGCTTTACAGTGAAAGAGGGTGAAAAGAAGAGAAATATAGGGAAAGGAAGAAGGGAGGGAGAAGAAGAGAAGGAAAAGGGAAGAGAGAGAAAAGGGGGGGGGGAGAGGAGAAGAAATGCATGGGAAAATAGGGGTAAAGGATCAAGAAATAAGTGGGTTGGGATGATAGAGTATTAGGAAGGAAATACAGAAAGTGAAGATGAGGTGGAGTGGAGTGCTTCCAGTGCGATCCACAGAGACTGAGTCTTAAATAAACAACAATTTTCTCCCATCATCTGCTGACTTCTTGTTAGAGTCCTTTTCTTTTTTTTTAATTATATTTGAAGTTTCATTTCTTCCTGCAAGTATTTTTTTTCAAAGGTTTCCAATTGGTATAATTCTTTTTATTAGTATTTTCCATTAATTGTGATCAGAGGCGGCTCGTCCATTACGCGAAGTAAGCGGTCGCAGAACCCTTTTTTTTGCCAGGGGCGCAAAGGCGCCTCTGTAAATGCCCCTCGACCACCACTTGAGGAGCGCCCCCTCAGCTCACAACAGCCCTAGCAGTCCGGGGGGAGCCTCGGCTTTCTTGCCTCGGTGCCGGGCGATCCTCTTCCCAAAGGGGCCGGGCCCTTGAGCCTCGCCTCGCCCCTCTCGTTCCTGCTCCACCTGGCCACCAGGTGCGCGAGCAGAGCCGGCGCTCAATAGTTCTCCGCGTTCAATCCCTTCCCCATGACCGGCTCCCTTTCCCAATCCCCCGGCGCTCCACACGCCTCCTCTCCTTTCCCCAATCCGTGGGTGGGCCAAGGAGCGGAGCCGCCGCGCCTGGCCCGCTTCGGGTCTGGAGGCGTGTCTGAAGACCCCAGCGTGCGCACCAAAAGTTGCCTCTTCTCCTGACTTTCTCTTCAGCCATTGGGACCAAGAGAGAGAGAGAGAGAGAGAGCCCCTCCGGCTGGAGGTATCTCCCACCTCCGCTCCCTCCTTTGTTTTTGCGCCTACCTTCAGGAAAGGTGGGCATCTCCACCTCTCTCTCTCTCTCTCTCTCTCTCTTGGTCCCAATGGCTGAGGAGAAAGTCAGGAGAAGAGGTGACTTTTGGTGCACACGCCGGGGTCTTCAGGCACGCCTCCGGACCCAAAGCGGGCCAGGCAAGGGAGCAAGTGCGGCAAGTGTAGTTACTGGGAGGTATAGTTCACCTACAATCAAAGAGCATTCTGAACTCCACCAATGATGGAATTGAACCAAATATGGCACACAGAACTCCCACAACGAACAGAAAATATATATCAATGATTGGTTGGGACCCTGTCACGCGTTGCTGTGGCCTATAGTAAATCTTTTCAAAGTAGAGGTAGATATCTGGAGTATTATGAAAGAGAGGTACCTACCTATTCCTTCCCCCCTTTTTCTCCCCCTTTCTCTCCTTTCTTCCTTCTCTACCTCTTTCTTTCTTTCTTTCTTTCTTTCTTTCTTTCTTTCTTTCTTTCCTTCTTTCGCTCCTTGGTTTCATCCTTCTCTCTTTCCTTCATTCCCTCCCCCTTTCTTCCTTTGCCTCCTTTCTTCCCTCCATGTTTCCTTCCTTCTTTCACTTTTTATTTCCTTTTCTCCTTCCTTCTTTACCTCTTTCCTGCCTTTCCTTCCTTTTATTTTTCTTTCCTTTCTACTTTCTCTTCTTCCTTCCTTCGGTACCTCTTTCTTTCCTGCCTTCCCTCCTTCCTTTCTTCCTTCCCAATGCTTACCAAACCCTTCTCATGGGAGTCCTGTGTGCCACGTTTGGTTTAATTCCGTCGTTGGTGGAGTTCAGAATACTTTGATTATAGGTGAACTATAAATACCTGCAGATACAACTCCCAAATGACAATATCATTTTTTTAGCGTCGGTGGGTGTGGGCGGGGCTTCCGCGTAGGGGGGTGGGAGGAGGAGGAGGAGTGTAGGGGCGGGGCGTCGGTGGGTGTGGGCGGGGCTTCCGCGAAGGGGGGTGGGAGGAGGAGGAGGAGTGTAGGGGCGGGGCGTCGG